TGAGAATTTTAAAAAAAGAAAATTCGTAATTTTGATATGAGAAAATGAAAAATTATTTTAAACTATAATACTTAAGAGTATGTGCTTCAAAAAAAAAAAAAAATATATATATATATATAATATGATGTTGGCTTCAAAAAGTTGAATTAATTGAGCTAAAAATAAAGATAAATAAAAAAATCAAGTTGTTTTCACAGAAAAATAATTAAATCGCTTTTACAGCGGATTAATTATTAAAATCTTTTATTTCTTTCCCAAAATAGACTTGAAGCCTGTTTTTTTTTTCAAGGTTACAGAGCCTCTTGAGATGTTGAAACCCAGATATCCTTCCATCGTTTGGGTGGCTTGCCTGAGGATCGCTTGCATTGCGGCTCTCTTGCTCTTCTCGCTATCCTTTCTTCGATCATTGTATTTCTGAGCATCGATTTTGTAAATTCTGGTTTCGGCAGTATATATCATTATGGGATTATATTCCAAAGAATTTAAAGAGAATATGCATTTTTTTTAAATAACAAAGTCTTTCTGGAATAGTTTCTCCTTCAATTTTGAATAAATATTTTGTTAATTATGAATGTCTAATATATATCTCCTATAAAAATGTTGCTGTTGCAATTACATCTGTGGAAAAATTATGTAAAAACATGGAAAAATCTATTAACCTTTATACACTTATTAAAATTATTGTTGAAAAGATGTAAAATACGAAAAAAATTCCAAATTTTTTATTTGCACAAAATCTTATGCGGTTTGCAACATGGATCATGATACTTCTATTTGTTCTTACATCAAAAAAACATTTGGACATTGACGTTTTTGTACACATACAATCTCAACGTTATCAAGTTTTTTAAAAGCGAAATTGAAATCTATTAATAGAGGATATCAAGCTTCGATATACCTATTAATTTTCTTTAAATTCATGATGAAAAGAATCGTCTTTGTGGATTGTTCATTTGCAATTACCGCCATTTTCTAAATTGCTCGTGTGATTTATATGACACTTGATTTATAGGATAATTTGATAAAGCTTTATTCAAATCTCAAAAATCAAGAATTCAAAATAGTAGATTTAATTCAATACAGCAAAAAATAATTTGATTATCAAGTAAAACTCGATTCTAGAGAACATTTTTTTAATTAAAAGGTAACATGCAAGTCTCCAGTGCTCTATCTTCAGAGCTTTGAAGCTCATCAGTACAACGCAAACAATTAATATTAATTTCCAAACTAACTTTCAAACTCTGATTATGAACCTTGCGAGATCTTTATGGAGATTATTAATCTTCGAGTAGATATGTGGGGTGTCTAAGCACCCAAGCATAATTTTTTTAAATATTTTATACTTTCAGATTGGCAACAGAGCTCATCGATTTAATATCTTCTTATTATTGATTATTTGGTAAATTAAACTAATAGTAGCTCATCATATTAAAGCAAACAATGATAGAGCGTCAAATGTGCTGGGGGTCCTGTAAACATCCCATCTACCCACTTATGTTTTCTTTTTATATTATACTTTATCTTTTTTTGAGTTTTTATATAGTCAGAGATTTTTCTCCGCTATAGTCCAGAGTTGTCATGTTTATATTACTTTTCTTGTCTTATTTATATTATTTTTATATGTCTTTATTTTATTAGAATGTAACTAATGTAAATTTAATTACTTATAAAAAGTAAATAATCTCATTTTTCTTTTATTTTTATTGTTATATTTTAATTTTATAAAACAAACTTTAATTTTATGTTTTTTAAATTTAAACATTGATTGTTTTACATACTTTTGTCATTAAAATATTCATTCATTATTTATGTTTTGAGATACTATTTAGTATTAGAATATTTGTACACTTTATATTTAAATACTCTTTTAGATTTAAATTACGTTTTTTTAATAATAAATAATGTTAAAAAATAAAACGGAAAACTCCATAACTAAAAATGACGATCTGGAAAAAAAATAAAAAAGTATTGTGTGAAAAGTTAAAGTTCAGTATTTTCACATTTCTCTATTTCATTAGAATCTAACTAATGTATAAATTTAATTAAAATGTAATATTTTAGTAAAAAACATAAAAATAACATGTTATATAATTGGACATATTTTATATAATTTTATATAATTGTATTTATA